AGGGTTTACATATCCAGACATGTTGTGTTTGATGAAAACATATTACCCTATGTATCTCCAAAGCAATCTCAAACTAACAATGATGTCTCACCTCACCTTGCCACATTTGTTGAATATTTCTCTAAACTGCAGGCACATGATAATTCTGATTCATGGGAAGTACAGGTTGCTAGTCCACACATAAATGGTGATAATTCTACTATAACTCATATACTCTTTGATGATGAGAGTACTATTGACCTCTCAGGCACAGGATCAGATGCTGAGGAACAAGTTGAAAATGATGATCCATACAGTAGTATTGAAACTCCAGTTGCAGATTTTGGATCTGCTAGTGGCAGTAAGGAACAAGTTACACTTACAAGTCCAGTCAATGAGCATCATCAAACAACTACATTAGTTGATGTACCAGTTGACCATCAATCTGACAATGCTACACTCCAGTCAACTATTTTGGTTGTTGTACCAGTTGACCATCAATCCGACAATGCTACACTCCAGTCAACTATTTTGGTTGATGTACCCGTTGAGGTACTTCTTACACCACAGGGGCATCCTATGATCACCCGACACAAGGTGAAGGAACACCACTTATCACTTGTTGCTCGCAGTAGCACAAATTTTTTTAGAGAACCAAATATTACTAAAGAAGTACTAAGGTCACCTCATTGGCTTGCAGCAATGCATGAAGGAATTGATGTGTTACATACTAACAAGACATGGATTTTGGTGCCCAAATCCCTTTGATATAAACTTGGTTGGCTCCAAATGGGTGTTCAAGACAAAATTGAAAGCTAATGGAACAGTAGATAGGTGCAAGGCCAGACTTGTGGCAAAGGGATTCTCGCAGCTTGAAGGGATAGATTTTGAAGAAACATTTAGTCCTGTGGTTAAAGCCACGACAATTAGGGTGGTTCTAACCATTGTTGTCAGTTCAAAGTGGAAAATTAGACAACTAGATGTCAAAAATGCCTTTCTACATGGCTTCCTACAACAGAAGGTGCAACCCCCTGGTTTTATTGATCCACAGTATCTTCAGCATGTGTGTCTACTTAAAAAGACACTGTATGGTTTTAAACAAGCACCAAGAGCCTGGTTTGATAGGTTTAGCATGCATCTCTTACACCTTGGTTTCATTTGTAGTAAGGATGACCCTTCTTTATTTACTTTGCAAACTCACAAAGGCAAAATATTTCTCTTGTTATATGTGGATGATATTATTGACACAGGAAGTAATCCATCACATGCCTTAGAGTTGGTTCTACAACTTGAGAAGGATTTTGCTATGAAAGATCTTGACCCTATACACTTCTTTCTAGGAATTGAGGTGAAGTATTTCGAATGAAGAATTCACTTAAGTCAAAGCAAGTATGTTGTTGAGCTGCTGGCCAAGACAGAGATGACTTTGGCAAAGGCTATAGCCACTATTTTGGCTCAAAAACATGGTTTGCATGAAGTTGTGGGAAGTTTTGTAGATGCCTCCTTGTACAGAATAATAGTAGGAAGCCTTCAGCATTTGACCCTCACAAGACCTAATATCACCCATGTTGTGAATTTAGCAAGCCAATTTATGCAAAGCTCAAACATTGAACATCTTCAAGGGGTAAAAAGGTTTCTCAGGTACATCAAAGGTACTCTATACTTTGGACTCAGAATTATTTCACAATCACCATGTTGGTTGTATGGATACTCGATTCCTGATTGGAGAGGTTGTCCCACCACTAGGAGATAAACTACAGGCTATAGCATCTACCTAGGTGCAAATTGTATTTCTTGGACCTCCAAGAAACAAACCACAGTAACCCGATCGAGTGTTAAAGCTAAGTATAAAGCACTAGCCTCTACTGCCGCAGAGATGACTTGGATCATGTATTTTCTTCATGACCTTGGAGTGTTTCTTTGATCTGTTCCTACGTTGTATTGTGATAACATGAGTGCCTTGTACGTGACGGTTAATTCAGTTATGAATGCTAAAACCAAACATGTTGAAATGGACTATCATTTTGTTCGTAAGAAAGTGGCCAGAGGATAACTTCTTACTCCGTTTGTAAATTCTAAGGATCAACTAGCTGATATTCATACAAAAGCCTTAACAAAGTAGGTTTTTCTGGGTTTCGCAGCAAGCTAGGAGTTACAGTTCCTCCACTAACTAGCTTAAGGGGAAGTGTTTAAGGAAGCCTGAAGACTGATGGAACATGTCGAAGGAACAGGTCCATTGAAGCAGGCTGACGAGTTAGAATTAGAGTCATACTAGGACTAGACTACTAAATTTTAAATTATGTACATCTAAGTTGTTGGATCGTGTAGGAGGTTAAAGTCGACTAGGATATCATGTATTTAATATATTTGTATTGTAGTAGGATTCCTAGTATAGCTAGAATAGGACTCTTCTCCTATATAAGGAGCTTATAACTCAACATTATTGATCATCAATACAATCCTTGATTTCTCCATACTTACGTGAGATTTCTACACTTTCGTCTACGTTCTTCATCTCGTATGCGTCCTTTCAAATCATGTCTTCGCTCTCTTCTTATTACTAACTATCTAAGCCTTCATTAATCATTGAGAGATACTATATATCCTAATCATAGCTCTTAAATTCACATTTTCAAATTAAGGTAAAGTTAAGAGGAAAGTTCAAGAAAGTCTTTTTTTAGAAGTCTTTTACACTTTTCTATAACTTGTTTTAAGACTTGAGTAAATGAGTATGAGAATGAGGAGAGTTTTCTTTCATGTTTCAAAATGAGTATAAGGGAACTAAGTATTCCCGAGTATGTAATACTTTTACATTTAAATGAAAGAAACATCGATTTCTAAATGAATTTATGAGGAGTCTTGAGCATCACCACTTTTAAGAGGATCTTTTGAGTAATTATCTCAAATTGAGGAAAAGTTATTTTTTAATATAAGAGAATAAGTTATATATATTATTGAGAGTAGTATTGAACACCGATATAGGGATGAGTTTAGACATCTCAAAATCCTCATAAATCATGTATGCCAATATGGGTAAAGGGTCATACTTTTTAGATGATTCCTTATTTCTTTTAAGCATAGCTTAGTAGATTCACTTATTTGAGGAGTTCTATACCCCGACAAGGTATAGGACAGTTACATTCTGGCAGCGTGGGCGAGACACTGTATCATCACGTAGTTGATAGTGATGGTTTTCGATTAGAGAATCTCCCAAATAAGAGTAACGAGTTTATTTATTGTATTTTTATACATATTGAGTTGATATTTACTGTTTTAAAAGCTTTATATATTACATCTTTTATTGTTGCTTTCACCTTTGAGTTGAGATGAGGTGAGTATGTCTTCCCACAATATCAGTTCAGTTATCTACTACTTTCAGTTTTCCCCCATGCTCGTACATTCAAAGTACTGATGTCATTCAACCTGCATCATTTTCATGATGCAGGTGTTCAGAGTCATCAACAGGCGCTTCGTTGATCCCATTGCATTCCAGCTAGCTTTGATGAGCCTCCTTGCTTTCTGGATGGCTTCACATTATGGTTTTGTTATTAGATTGTCGGGGTCCTTGTCCCGACATCCATCATATTATTTAAAGGCTTTATAGACAGTAGTAATTGAGGAGTCTTTCATCATTTCTTTTGTAATGTTTGAAACTTTGAGTTGATCACTTATACTTAATTAAGTATTTCCAGATATGCATTGAGTTAAGTTCTATTGAGACATTTTGAGTTAAATCTTTTAAGTTGAGGTTTTTGTTTAACTTGAGTAACTCTTTCGCAGAGTAATGAGCCAGACCAAGGGTTCGCTTGTAGACCAACAATGGTTCTCGAGTGTCGACCACATTCAGGGTGTAGGCTCGGGACGTGATCATTTAGAGATTTTTTTATGTGTTTTCTCTTTATACTATGTACATTCATTTGCAAAACAAAAGGTATAATGTTGCATTGTTTGAGCCTGCTAGAAAGATAAAAATTGAATACCTTTTAATTATTTGGTCCAACTATGCAAATTCTCAAAAAAAAATCAAAATTCAAGGTTAAAATCTTGATTTCCTTAATGAAATAGTAAGAGAAAATAATCAATATGCAAAACTTAAGGTGTTCACTAATAAGCAATATATAGGAAAAGAAGAAAAGTCTAGATGATACCCCAATTTGTAAATTACACATTTCCTAATGTGCGGTAAATGTCTTTGCTAATATAGAAGTCAAATTGTCCTATGGGAAAATTTATTAGGATTCCCATAATGTTCTTGTTTTTACATCCAAAGTGTCATTTCTAAAATAGAAGATAGAAAATAGAAAATTCCTTATTTTAGACAAAAACATATGATACATTATACATCATTGTCTATTCCGAGAAGAATAGTTAATCAATTATGAAAATAAATAAATAAATACTATTGCTCGGAAAAAATATACTTCATATATAGAACATGTCAAATAAATGTTTAGACCAACTACATTGAAAAGAGAGAAGGTGCAAGAAAAGAACTCAAAGGGAAATGGAATAGGTCCAAACTGTTAAAATTGGAGATTGACTCATTTGATTCTAAGTCATCTATCAAAATTAAGAACTAACTTATATCAAATTATAATGAAAGGAGTTTATCTCAATTGAATATAACAAAAGGGATATATTTTAATTATTTGCGATAATATAAAAGGTATTTGGCCTTTTCCAATACTAAAACCTTTGAAAATTAAGAGTATGAGGTTGAAAGTACACATAGAAGTATAATATAAGGAGTGAAAGTGTAAATGTACCAAACTTTAGGCTTAATTTTGTGAAACCTAATGTATAAGAAGATTCCTGATCCTGACAGCTAAGCGTTTACCTTAGCTGCCTTAAATTCCTTCTTACAATTGATCCTTTTTATTATCCTCTCTGTTCACATTTTACAAAAAAAAATAAAAAATCTTGGAGCAACCCCCATCACCAATCTCTGGTAAAAATTTGATCTTTTCTTCTACTTCTCATTTCTGTTAAGTTTTAGTGTTTGGGTTATCACAGATTGTTATTTTATTGTCAAAGATTGTAACTTTTTCTTGTTTTTGGTTCCTAAAGATTGTAACTTTTTTTTTCTATGAGTTGTTTTCCATTAAAATCTTGCAAACCTCATTAGTCCCTTTACCCAATCTCTCTATTTTTCCAAAGATTTGCAACTTTTTCTTGTTTTTGGTTAATAAAAATTCTAACTTATATTTTTCTACTGGTTGTTTTTCATCAAAATCTTGCAAACCCCATCAGTCATTTTACTAATCTCTTTTGGTTTTCAAAGATTTTTTAACTTTTACTTGTTTTGGTTGATAAAGATTCCAACTTTTTTTTCTATGGAATGTTCTCCATCAAAATCTTGCAAACCCCATCAGTCCCTTTATCAATCTCTTTCAAAGATCTGTAACTTTTTCTTGTTTTTGGTTCATAAAAATTCTAACTTTGCTTTTTCAATGGATTGTTTTCACTAAAATTTTGCAAACCCCATCAGTTCATTACCAATTTCTTTTGGGTTTTCAAAGATTTGTAACTTTTTCTTGTTTTGGTTGATAAAGATTCTATGGTTGTTCCCTTCATTAAAATCTTGCAAACTCCATTAGTCCCTTCACCAATCTCTTTTGGTTTTCAAAAATTTTGTTACTTTTACTTGTTTTGGTTGATAAAGATTCTAGCTTTTTTTTCTATGGGTTGTTTTCCATTGAAATCTTGAAAACCCCATCAGTCCCTTTACCAATCTGTGCTAGAATTTTGCCAAAATTTGTAACTTTTTCTTGTTTTGGTTGATAAAGATTTGATTTTTCTCTTTTTTTTCAAGAATGGGAAGTCACGGGAACAGTTGGGCAGATCAATGGGGCAGCCAAAACGACGTCGTAGATGAAGATTATGGGAGCAAAGGAAAAAACGGCGGCGGTGGTAAGAAAATGGAGAAGGTGACGGCGGTGGCATCGGCGAGTTTTGGGAAGGCGAAATCAGCGGCGACGGTGGGGGCTGACAAGGCTAAGGCTGCGGCGGTGGTGGGTGCAAAAAAGGTGAAGAGTGGAACTTCATTGGGGTTTAAATGGATCAAGGACAAGTGCCAGAAAAAGTAATTTTGTGTTTTACATTTGAATCATTGAAAGGTTTAGTTATATGTATACAGATTGTTTTGATGAATGAAATCTGAATATTTGAATTCTTTTTAATTTCTTGCACTTGTTCTGATTAGATATGGTATAGTCCAAATTTAACTTACGACTTCAGATAAAAAAGAAAAGGTTTGGAGATCGCAATAACAATAAAAGGTATTACTAACTTAATCATGTAGTATTTGATTTGATGGTAGTATATATCAGTGTGTTGGTTGCAATATAGCTTACTCATATGGTCCTTGGCTCTTGCTATTTGATATCATTTATGATTTACTATATTTATTTAAGTGATTGCATCTTATTGTGATTGTTACAGTTCCATTTACATAGTTGTTATTGCTTTGCTATTAGTTGTCATATGAACAACAATATTGATTTTCTATTATCTTATGTCATAGGAGGGAGGGAGGGGTGGGGGATAATGCTTATAACTTATAAGTAATTCATCGATAACTCCTAAAGTTGACATTAATTTTTACTTAGACACCTTAACTAGACTTTATTTATTTTAGACCTCTCATATCACGTTTCGATGTGTCATTTTGACACTTTTTTTATAATCAGCCAAATGTGTAGACTCGCCGATGACATGTTAAAATGACAAATTAAATAAAGACATGTGGCATATATATTGAAAATAATTTTTAAATAATGAATTTTGAGTAGAAAAAAAAAAAAAGACAAATAACTTAATGACACGTAGAACTTTTTATCCAAATATTTTTTAAACAATTAACCACTTGCTCATATGTTGTCTTCTCCACCACCCCCACCCCTGATCCTCAACCCCGCCCCCCAGCAGATTGTCTTTCCACAGCCCCTACCCTCTCCCTCCCCACACTCAAATCATCTTCTCCACCACCTCTCATCCTTCCCCCCTCCCCAAAACCCTAACTTCTCCCCAATCTAGATTGTCTTTCTCCAAAATATTTTCATAGTAATTTAACTATTTGAAAAATAAACAAATTTACAAAAGCACAATCTCTTTGCAAAATCTAATTCGTCTTACTTGAAACTTCAAATAAAATTAAGCTCTTTAAAACTAAACGAAGAGTTTCCTATTAAAAGAATTTTCTAGAACTTTTTTTTAAAAAAGAAGATGTATTTCGATTTTTTCAAAACATCTCGAGGAAGAATGACAACAAAATAAGAAAAATTGTTTAAAATTAAATCTCTTGGTGTTGTAGCATCATTATATCTATTTCTCCATGGAAGGAGTTTAAGTTTTAGAAAATGGTGGCAAAAATGGGGAAGAAGAAGAAAATATAAAATAAAAATAGGTCAAATAAACTGTCCACATGCTGGTAAGGAGTGTATCACAATTACTATGTCATGTTAATAAAAAGTGTCAAAATAACACGGTGAAACATGACATGAGGTGTCTAAAATAAACAAAATTCAGTTAGAGTGTCTAAGTGAAAATTATTGTCAACTTTAGAAAGCGACTGATGGGTTACGCCATCGTGGACATATTGAAGGAGACAATGATTTAAGCCCCTTGTAAAACGAAAGAGATCATATTTTACCCATTAATAATAAGAGAGTACTAATTATTGGTCATAAATCATGTTGATAATAAGTTAATTGAATCCCAATCTTTAAAGCACCAAGCAAGTAAAGACCAAGAAATTATGTAATAGGCTTTGATCTTACCAAGCTTCATAATCACATTTATTCCTGTATTAAGCTTCTTAATTTCGTGAATAATTTCTTGTGCTAGCATGACGTTCTCGTAGTTGATGGTGGGGTTCAAATTCTTTAGTATGGTAATTATTTCCATGATAGTTGCCATTAATCAATTTTGTTAGAAGGTTCACAAGTTAATATACATATATTTTTACTTAATTTTCTAATATAAATATAAAAATTTGCGAAAAAGCCACTAGATTCATTCGAACCTTCGAACTCCCACTTAGCTCCGCCCCCAAAGAGAATGTAGTATAGGGTCCAACTAGGGATGGACATGGTATGATACGGTACGATATTTGAAAGTTTTGATATCGTAATTTCGGTATTCGATTTTTAAAATATTATACCATTACCATACCAATCTAACTCGGTATTCTACAGTATGGTAAATCGGTAACCGTAGTTTGTTCAACTTCGATTAATATATACTCGTATAATAGAGTATTATGACTTCGACAATTAAAAAAAATTGTCTCAATTGTATCATACTAGCACATTACACATGTAGAAATATATATTCAAAATAAAGTACAAACAACTCCTTTTGTTAATCAATTAAACTACAAATATATTTCAATCAAAATAGAGTCTAAACATTTAGTTTATACTGATACTAGGTTGCATATTTGTTAGTATTTTGATAATATATATATATATATATATATATATGATATTTATGTAAATATATACTTCGATATGGTATTCGATATTTCGATATGTTATTTCTAAATATCAAATAGCGTACCGAATACCAATTTTTTTTTTAATTGTATATCATATACCATACCAAATATCATAATAAACACTTAAACTTGTATAAAATTAAATAAGTAGAGTAGTAGACACATAAGTCATATATGACATAATACATGCAAAACGTCATGTTGGACACATAAAACGTATGTATCTACTTGTGTACACCCAAAATTGGAGGGCATAAATATCAATTAACACTAAATTAAATGACATTTTATGTATTATGCCTATTTAAAATGCTTCTCCTAAATAAATTTTATACATGATGCAAATTGAGATTAATCGAACCCAGATTAAAAGAAAAAGAAACCAAGGTAGAGATGAGTGAAAGCGTACGTGTCCAAACCACATCCATTACCTCTAAATAACTACCTTACCTTACAATCACAATTCAATCAAAAAAACAAACTCCTAAATTTGGTTCTACTGACTCATGGTACCAGGTATCCATACTTTCCCCAATTTCATTTTTCTTATGTAATTGCTTTGCTTGCTTTACAGGAGTTGGATTTTACTCTGTTTGTCTCATTTTAATATGAACTGTACACACTTTTAAATGTTAAATTTCATTTTTATTAGTCATAAAATAAATGAATGAAAAAGTTAGCAAGATATCAACTTTTGATATAACCAAATGAATTTTGAATTGTTGAAAGTATTGTAAATTAGGGATTGCATTTTGTTGGGTAAGAAGTAAAATCAATTGTGATTTAGGATGTGTTTCGTATGAAGGAAAATGTATTGAGTTTCTTTACTTATTTTCGAGTGTTTGGTGTGTAAGTAAAATATATATTATCTTGAGCATTTATATGTAATCTCGCGAAAAACACAATGGAGTGTGATGGGGTGGGGTGGGCGTGTTTTCTAGCGAAATACTATGGGGGTGTGAGTGATGGGAAGAGACAATGAACTTTGGGAAGTCAATTTCCTCATTTTTTGTGGAACTTGTTTTCTTGCCAGGGAAAACCATATTTTCCAAAACATCCTAACCAACCAAACTTGAAAAAATTGAAATCATAAAGAAATCTCACTTGTGGACATTGTGTTCCGGACTTCCGGTATAAGCAAACTAGTGTTAAATAATCCATCTCCCATTTGATATTCTTGGTTTAGACCTTGGTCATTTCCTCCTAGGCAGTGGCAAAATCAGGAATTTAGTTAAGGGTGTCCAAGTTATTATATATGTATATAAAGTAATTATTTACTTATATATATATATACTTGGTATAAATTTCTGACAAAGGGGGGTATGCCACTGCTCCTCGGTAAGTCTACTTCTAGTTCTAACTCAGCTAGAACCATGTACTCCAGGAATATACTCAAGAAACATGAGTCCTCAGTACTATTGGTGATACTGAAGTACATAATGTTTGCAATTTCAACACAAACGCGAGGTCTCAAACCCAAGGTGGCGTCATCAGAATGGTTTTCTCCTACCTCTACTTCCTTTCAAAAGGTATTACCACTCAATTTCTGTTTGTTAAGAGTAAAGCCAAATGTACTTTGTATACTCGTTATGCGAATGATGTTGTAGTTACCTTATTTTTAGGATAGCATATACCTTAGTCTTAGATATAATTTATGCTTCTCTATACTTGCGTATGTAAATTCTTTTGGTCTACCTTAATCAAGGAAGCTAATTTACTCTTATAAAACATATGAATCCAATGTACATGTACATTGTTTACCTCCTTTCCACAATTTGCACTTCGATTCATAGGCAGAGCCACCTTAGGCAAAGGGTGGTCTTGTGCACACCCTTTGCTGGAAAATTATGTGGTGTACAGAGGTAAAATGTTAACTATTATATATGTATATTTAATTTTGTACCCCTTTCGCGAAATTCCTGGTTCCATGACTGCTTCGATTGCACTGTTAAATTGTGTACATCTATCTGGAGAAAATTTCTTCATTTTCCATGACGTAATGTTGCTGCCATTACCTCTTTATAGAACTGTGTGTCACAAGGCAGCCCATTTTCTTCAAAGCAAAGTTCTTTTCTAAGAGGTCAATATCATGTTAGACACTTCCTTGGGCTCGGTCGAACTGGACAAAGAAGAAAAAATGCAGGTGAATGATGCAGTTTCATCCAATTATGTTTTTATTGCTTCTGTAAATTTAGAGGTAGCCGACTTTTTTTTTTCCTTTTGTGACTGAAATAACTATCACTACCGAATACAAAGACTTCCATTCTTTAAACCTTCAGTTATTGCCTTTTATTATCTAAACAGAGTTAATTTTCAATGCTGCCTCATCTTGCGAGTCCTTTCATTGACTACATTAAGTTCTTCTTTGTTCTTGCATGTCGTATCGGCATACGAGCTTATCATATGTTTGTAGCTCCCTAGCTTTTCTTTTTGGTGTGTGAATTCCTATAGTATCACCATTGTAACTTAATTTTCAAGACCAAATAAAACGAATGATCAGACTTATACCATTTCTTCTCATAATCTATCTTACTAAGGTCTCCTTTCATCAATACAACTACTGACAGCAGAGGCAAAGCCAGGATTTTAACTTTATGGGTTCTATATACTAGAATGACAACTTCATGTGCTTATAATTGGGCTGTTAGCTGTAAAATTTATTGTGTACGTATTAATGAATTTCTTAACACATACACTGTTTGAGAAAAAGTTATTGGGTTTGACCGAACCCGTATCTAGGTTTCTAGCTCCCCCTTAGTACTTCTGAGTTTGTTATGTGGTAGTAATACGTTGTTATGGTAAATGGAATTGTGTTATTATTGTCCCATAAACCTGTTCCATTTATTAATGTGGCCGTAACTAATCATATGATTGTTCCTTCATTTTGTTTATTGATACTGAAGGTGCTGTGGTATCACCAAGTTGTGTCCTTCCACTTACTGAGGAAAACGTCGAGAAGGTTCTAGAGCAAGTCAGGCCAGGCCTAATGGCTGATGGAGGAAATGTGGTACTACATGAGATCGATGGCCTAGTTGTAATTCTTAAGCTTCAAGGAGCATGTGGATCTTGTCCAAGTTCAACAATGACACTTAAAATGGGAATTGAAACTCGTCTTCGGGACAAAATCCCTGAAATAATGGCAGTTGAACAGATTCTTGACTCTGAAACTGGCCTTGAGTTAAATGAGGAAAATATTGAAAAGGTACAATATTTCTTATGATTAGTAATTACTCTTGAGTTGATTTCTCTCACTCGATTAATAGTTATTATCTCATAAAGTCAGACTCTTGATCATCTGACATAATAACTATTAGTTGAGTGACTATATGAGAAATCAGTCCATTATTCTTAACTTATTATGAGTAGTATTTAGACACCAATATTGAAATTTCCAATAATGTCAGCTTCTTGGAGAGATTAGACCATACTTGGTAGGCGCCGGTGGTGGAGAATTGGAGCTTGTACAGATTAACGACTACATTGTTAAGGTTAGGCTAAGTGGACCGGCTGCTTCTGTGATGACAGTTCGTGTAGCTCTTACTCAAAAATTGAGAGATGCAATACCAGCTATTGCTGCTGTTCAGTTGACAGATTGAAGAAAATGCTCAGCCAGGCCATATGACGAAATTTTCCTGCAAGATTAAAAATTTACAGTACCATTTTTGTTATACAACATGTAGCATTCTTTATCCCTTCACTAGTGTACTCATAAATCAACATCTTTATATTGTCAATATTAGCAACTTCAATAGCAAAATGATATATTTTGCAACTAAACTTGTTAATGTTGAAGAGTGGTTTAACTTAACCAATTAAAAGAGAAACTATACTATTGCAGTTTACACTATCATAAGGTTCAATTGAAGAACCAACAGTGGCGGATCTAGGATTTGAAGGTCATGGGTGTTCACTTTCTTTAATGTTAAGAAGGGTTTCCTTGTAGAAGCTTACTAGTATTTTTATAGTTTAGTTGGTAAATAAAATACTAAAAATAGAAAAATAGAAAAGCAATTAAAAATAGAATAGAAGAAAAAGTAAGGAAATAGCAGTGAAAAAGTATAAAAAGAAGAGTAAAAATGTAAGAAAAAACTTCAGTAAGGTAGATTGTGTTTGTGTTTTGACCAAGATTTGAATCCTCAATTGAAGGCATCACAGCTTGTAAACCAAAGCATCCATCAGACCTTTTGATTTATGAGTGCTCACGAATAAGTTATATCAATTTTTCAGTATTTTCTATATACATAAACACAATTTTCGTTGGAGTTGGGTGCTCGAGCACTCGAAATCATGTACGTGGCTCCGCCCCTGATCTCCAACAATAGCAACTTTAGTAACATATGTAGCATAACACTACTCGTACTAAGGTGTCATAACCTAAATTTCTAGATTTACTTGCGAGATCTCCAATAATAAAATTTTTTATGGACATAAATCAAGTATGCAAGATAAAAATGAAAGAAAATTCAGTAGAATTACAAAGAAATAAAAATTATTTTTACAAGGAAATTCTTTTTGTCGACTTTATTTGGACAAATGAAAAGAGAAAAATAAGCGAAGAATAGAAGAATGAGAAGGTGTAAAAATAAATTAGAATCTAAATAAAAGTCTTTCAGAAAATTACAATGTTACCATTATATTCTACATTAGAGAACACTCGCACAATTAAATGTTGTGCAGTGCAATCCACGTTATGTGCCAAATCAACTATTTATATTTTATATGGAGTATGGACGAATATGAACATAATATTGGGTTCAATTAGAACAACATTGAGTTTAACTATCTAAATAAATTTTCAAGATAGTTTAAGAAGTTGTACATGCATTTGACCTTAAGTAATGTATAATTGCATCGTTATTACTTCACCCCTTAATTTTCAAAGGCTTAAACATATTGGCCGCAATAAAAATAATTGTTATACTTATAAAAATCCTAATTTGTTGTGGCGCCACGTAGGCGGGCCTAGGATTTTCTTTTATATAAATATATGATATGATTATACTTATAAATATATATAATATATTTTCTTATTTTTATTATTTTAATAAATTTCCATACAATAAAAAATCTCAATTCTCTCTATATTCAAAAATTAAAATTATAACACAAACGGCCCAAGATCATAAGAAAATATAAGAAAAAAATAAAACCCCATTTTCTCTATAAAAAAAAAGAGTAAAAAATAATTATAAGCCACTGTCATTTTCTCCCACTAGAGCTGCTTGGGGTCGTTAGGGATATTTTGGTAAATATATCTTATTTGATTTTTTCTTTTTTGGGGTCGTTAGGGATATTTTGGGAAATAGATCTTATCTGATTTTTCTTATTTAAAAACAAGCCATTAACTAAAGCTAGAAAAACATCTTATTTATTACTTGTAGACACTTAAATTTTATTGGATTAAATTCATACGAAATTTGAATTAAATATATGTTCATTTAAGCTGAATGATTAATTTGAGCTTAACAAATAAATAAGTCCATTTTATTAAATTCAAATTCAAGGTTCATTTCACCTTGAAGCCCAAACCCATGTCACGTGTCACAGTGACTAGGCATCCAAGACCAATAAGGCGGCGCCATGTGTCCAAATGAGGTGGTAGTCTAGTCAAATTCAAGAACCAATCACAATCTGCCAAGTGTCAAAATGACATCCTTTGGCCAATCATAAGCAACCTTGTCGATCCCCTAGCTACAACTATAAATGGGGAATAGACATGACATTCTAAGGGCATTAAGAAAACTCTTCAATAAGCATTATGCAAGGATTGGAGAAAGCTACAACACCAATTACATAGCTCTTCGAAGGAGTGGTCAACGGAGTTCTTCTCGGAGATCGACTTGAAATGACGAAGTACTTCCCAACGTTTTTGGAGATCAACCACATCTTAAGGAGGTCTACATCATCCAACAATTTGAGAAGTACGCTATTGAAGGCCCTCGAATCTTGAAGAAGTTTATAAGGAGAGAAGAATCAAGAGAACAACAAAATTGTACTCACAAGATTCATTAATAAAAATCACATTTTTTCTTTTATTTATTTTGCTTGCAGTTAATTTTTAGCGGTTACGGAAATTTGTTGTGAACAAATTTGGCACGCCCAGTGGGACCAATTATGCTCTTCATCTCTTTATCTTGCGAATCAGAAACTACAAAGTCAACTACTGCAATGGCCTTCAGAGTAGTGATTTTTTATACAAGGACTCTACTGATATCGTATCTACGGATCTTAATCATGTTGACCCGATTACTCGGCGTAAGTTCAAGAACGGTGGGCTAGATGGATCTGAATACTTCACTTCTTTGGAGACAGTGAAAAACAACAACTCTTATACGATGGTCGTAACTGCAACACCTGGGGAAATCTTGTATCCGTGTTCTTTGGAGAACTTTCTCAAATTGGCTCCAACTTTGTGAATCTGATGATTCAATGAATTCTCCAACTTCAATGAATGTCAATGCTTTGATGGTTGACTCAACTAACATGGATGAGAAGTTTGCAATGATGGACCAAACCGTTGAAGCCTTGAAAACATTCGTTTCCATTAAGCTTTCACCATCTAAAGGAGACATGCAAACCAATATTGATAATGAGCAACCTGTTTTTTGCTATATTCCACGTGAGCGTCGAAAAAAGGGATAATCACTGCTTGAGGAATGTACTCAACAAGTTCACCCACCGAGGAAAGAATTAAGTTACACAACATTCCAAGATTTAAAGAAGAAAATGATTGTCCCAGTTGCACAAGTCATGTCTATCACTTTGAAGCCCTCCAAAGGCAATACTCAAGTTGGTAAGATAAAAGGAAACTTTGATTAAAAGGTTTTCACATTATTTGAAAAATCAGGTTACGACTTCTCAAATCCAGTGAACTTAGGAGAGCTTAGAGATGAAGTCACCGGTGAAAATATACATGGGTTTACAAAGTCTCAAATACGATTGAGAAATCAAGGATATTATGTCGCCACTCCTAGGTTTGAGTTAGGATTCAGCTTGCCGGAGCCTCTTCAGATTTCATCTAAGAAGAAAAAGGAAATAAATTCATCCCACCACACCTCTGTAGAAAAAAACAAAGGAATTTAAGGGTGGTAAAACACCACGACGGACTTCAGTGTTTGCACTGATTGGAAGTTTGACACCCCGTGTCTGTTCATTTGAAATATTGGGCAGCAGGAATGAAAGAGAATCCTCTAAACAAGTGGACAAATATGCCACCACCTCAAAGACCTTTGTATTTCATTGCTTGGGAACCAAAAGGAAGTCATTATCAGAAAGGAGGTTGTTGGAGCATGAGAATTAGAATTTTTGTGATGTGACCAACAACAAAGAGATTCATAGTGTTTTCCCATCACGTCTGAAGAGAAATGTTATATTGTCAATTACCACATATGGTTCATTAAAGGTAATATAAAAGAAGCACAAACAATTGTTGTTACCAACCAATTTCATGGAGAAACTAAGAAGGAGGAAGATGAAGCCATCACAGTCTTCGAAGGAAGTTAGAGGGAAGATTCAAACTCTTTATTTAAGGCCTGTTTGAAAAGTCACCAGGTAATTGGAATTGGTGTAATTACTAGGGTAGTAATTACCGGCCTATTAATTACACAACCTAGTAATTACGTTGACGTGTTTGTTTGCCACAATGTAATTACAGGGTAATTACAAGTGTACTGTTTGGTTGCACAAGCGTAATCATAAGGTTATATTGAATTTCAAAAATAAAAATTAATTATTTAAATTTTTTTTTTTGTAATAAGGGCCTTTATAAATGTATTAAATTAAATATTTAAGATATACATATATTGTCTCTTGAAAATATATTAATTAATAAACATATGTTCTTAACTAATATTATAAAAAAAATTTATTTTTATTTTTTAGTTTAGTATATTTTAATTAAATTAATCATAAAAACTAAAAGTACATAATTTCTATGATAATCATGAAATACATGTTTGACAAGAAGAGCAATATTATAATATAATGTCATAAAATTATGAAACATTTGACAAAAAGATAATCTATCAAGTCTAACTTAAAAAAATAGTCTGTAATGTAAAATATCGAGTCAATACTCCTAAAACAAATAAATTTAAAATATAACATAAGTTCTAAACTAAAAACAAAAAATTTATCATAATACTCTAATATCAAATTTCAACATAACATACATAAATATGATTAAAAGGAAAACGTAAGTCCATAATTTTATTCAACAATGAATTCTACTTTAATTTAAAAATTAGAATACTAACAACATCATACTAATGATTTTTTTTAGAAGATACGACTCACATGAAGTAAAAGTTGAGAATACGAAGAAAATGAAATATAAATAATATTAAAATAATATTTTTAGAAAATATTAGAATAATAAAAATTAAAAATAATTTAAAATAATAAAAATTAAAATACAATCGGAGATGCCCTTAGAGTTTTTTAAGCAAGTTAAATTGTTTCCATAAAATATTAAATTTTAAGTAGGTAATTATTTTGTAGGTGAAAACGTGGCAGATATCAAATAATTTTAATAGTTTCTTCATATTACGAGGTTAAATTTAGCAAAGGAAAAATTTCATAGCGTTTATGTATGAAAGAATACAATTTTTCTCTTATTTGACCTGTAAACCCAGCTTCATATTTTGAGGTAAAATCACCCAATACTAATTTTTTTGATTCATCAGTTAATCACTCAAGTGAAGAAGTTTCAAATTTTCCCTCCCCCATTCTCCTTCCAATCAAGGTAATCTCACTTTAATTCCTGAATTTTTGATACT